AGTTGAACTTGATGGATTTTGTCATTTGAAACGGTTTGTTCAGGTGTGTTGACATTATAATTGTCACGCCCCGATCCCGACATACGTCTAGGATCGACACGTGACGTCACCAAGTACCCGTATCTATCATACCCCACCTCCGGTATATGGGCAGAGCACAATTCGATAATCAAACCGCATAGTAATTTTTCGTATGCTTTATGGCTGCATCTAACCTCCTCGTTAGACTGCCTACGTACCCTAAACAAGGTCGTCATGCACTATAATTGACATATGTCACAGTCCGTTTAAGCTTAAATGCATAACATTTCTCAATCAATCAATAGAACTTGACAAGCATGAAATTTCTAGACTCAGGGTTACATAACAAACCCACCTGAAAATCATGATTTCCCTTCCATCTTCTATATAAGTCATTATGTCGCAACATGATATCGCAATTCACAACATATATCATATCAAGGAACCGACGAAGCACAATACAATTCTCTAGCCATATTATTTAACTAATTTGCCCAAAATAATAACAACTATAACCATATCTTCTCAATTCATACTTTATGAAATCATAATCGAATCATAGAAAATCCTGAAGGAGTCACCCAAACATCCAACAGCTTTTCTAATTCAATTCACAAGATTCTCAAAACCATTGCTCACACATATTCTAAAACTAAGGCTAGAGTGACACAGTTAAGCCAAGCCTACATCTCTGAAGCTAAGAAACCAACAAGTCAAGTGATGCAACTTTGGACCACTTAAACGAATCCAAACCAGGAAACGATTATGGACCATCACTTAACGGAATCGCGGAGTAGAAATGATTCCAGACCATCACTCAACGGAATCCAAACAAGGATACGATTTCAGACCATCACTCAACGGAATCACTTGCACTATCAACTTCTCATGACCACTAACTATCTTATCATACAAGCATAAAAGTTATACATAATACTTGTCATAAGATTCTGGGTTCACATCGTCCTAAAAACAATCATACACATCATACTGATCATACATATCTAACCACATTTCATAAACGTTTCCAAGCTACAGTCGAATCACAATTAATAAACATAGACCGATGCTAAAATAAAATAACACTTCAATAGAAAGCACATTTAATTAACAAGTATAACTCAATATGATGCCACTAATACATATATCGAGACACACATCAACCAAGAACGACACGTCATCGTGATGAGCCAACTAAGTTCCATCAAGTCTCAACAACAAACTAGAGATAAACGACACTCTAGAGTATAACACGTTGACTAGAACGTCAACCGTCAATAAGGTAGGTCCATTAAGATCAACAATCTAAGGTTATTCAAATCGGAAGATCCGCACATCATATTTCTAATCCGTAAGTTCTCAAAGATCCAACAACTGATAGCTAAGGTGCTCACAAAATTGTACAACAATCCAACGATCGGATTGTCGTCAATCATACAAACAAGTGGTGGTCCAATTTGATCACCACATCAAACAATTGACTTTCGGGAAACCGAGCTAGAAATAGATTCATAGGGTCACTAGAAGATATTTAGTACTTAGACAACACTCGTGGACAGTCCCACGCACCGCCACACGCGATGGTAACCATGGTGAAGGGTTTGAAACCCCAAATTTTCAACCTTAACCATAAAGGCTCAAATTTACGTGGTAACTAGAGCTCAACAAGGGAAACATTATTTACAGCTAGGCCAACGACAAATTCTAACCGGAAACCATCCAAATTCATCGGGAAAAACCGGGTTTCTAGGGTTCTAAACACCCAACTCTAAAACGAAGACGAAAGTACAAACCAAGCATATGAACTTGAAGATTATGAAGATTATATGAAGTTTAATACCTCATTCGAAAGAAATGGTTGCCGAAATCACCGGAAAAATGGCTAAATCGTTGGAAACCCACCGAACTGTGCTGCCTCGAACTGGAAAAATGGATAAGAAAATGGGAAATCTAACACTGCAAAGATGTAGGGCTCGTCAAGAGCTTTCCATGGACACCAAGATCATCCAAAACGGATATCGGATGAAGGAGATATGAGCGGATCAAGTTTGCGGGTTAACGGATCTAATTCGCCCCAAAACGGGTTTTTCCTTCTTTTCTCTCGCCACACTCCCGTGGCTTTCTTTTTCTTCCCTCTTTTAGCCACTCCTATGGCTTTTTCCTTCTCTTTTCATTTTTTGTTTTTAGCAACCACTTCAAACGTTTGTAACTATATCGTTATAATTCGGACTCGCAAACGGTTTTCGCCTATGCGTTCGTGATCTCGATATCTATTCGACAATATAAATTGTGACCTCAAATGGTCTACGGATTTTAAATAATTAATTTCCCGAAAAATAATATAAAATCTCTATAATACCAATACGTAGATTATAATAATGAAATCCAAGAACATGATTTCACAATAATTTGCCCAAAAAACCAAAAACAATTAGGAAACCAATTGTTATTTTGTTATATGTCTCCAGAAAGAAAAGTGAATCCCTTTACGATTTGGAAATCAATTAGAATTAGGGTAGGATTAAGAAACTGGCTCAGTACTATATATACGTGCTCCTAACTCATATTTTGTTTCACCAAAATCTCTCTTGTTGAAAGCAACCTAGCTCTCTCTTCTCCCATGGATCCCAAGTTTGCAGTCCGTTTTATTCTTGTTCTTCTTCTCATCTCACCTCTCTTTGTTACCGGCAACATGCAAGCTGAGGCTGTCCAACCGTACGAAGAAACAAAGAAACACGAACCATCAAGGATGATCAACTTCGGTTTGGTGTCAGCCGTGCTCTCGGACAAAGGGTATCATGCCATGTCACTTACCCTAGACATGGTTCTCGATGCTATAAACCCTAACGCCACTCTTACCCTCTTTTGCCCACAAGACAAAGCTTTCTTTAAATCCAAGTACCCACAGCCTCCACTGACGCTCCTCAAGTACCATGCTTTGCCATTCAAGATGGACAAAGATTCCATGGATGCCTCTCTTCGTCACGGTTCCAAGGTTGATACTCTTCTGCCGGGTCATCCTCTCGTTGTTACTTCCCTACGGGCCGGCACACATGGATATGCTTCTCTTAACCTAGTCAAAGTTACTGAGTGGGATCTCTATAACAATGGACGGCTGATTGTTCACGGGGTTGAGGACTTCTTTGATCCGGCTTTCCAAACCCTAAGGTATCCACAGTACGACGTCATTGCGAAAGATGTTGTCAGTTCTGGTGGAGTTTCTTGGCTCAAGGAGGCGACAGACAATTGGTTTCTTGTGCTAGGTGTGGCTGCTGCTTCCACTTTTGTGCTCGTTCTCGTATTTTTCTTTTGTGCTAAGCCTTCGAAGACCGATGATTTTCAGTATTCTCCTTTGTATTATGGGGTTCTTGGTCATGTATCATTAACTGATTAAATAACTATGTTTGAACTTGATTAATCTTTTGTATATTCCACTGGTTCTTTCTTCTGTTAATTGGATGGTTTTCTTTATTTTGGCGTATAAGGGTTATTGAATAGAGCTATAAAAAAATGAAGAAATACATGCACTAATAGAATCCATTACAAAATTTTAATCAAAGATAAATCATAAAGTAACATTCAATTGACAATAAATAGTACCAAACCGTGATTTATAGATAGATGACTAAAATAGTTTCACCTTAACCGGAGAATGAATTTTCAATCACAAATATGTTTAAATTCTTTTCTCCTTCCCAAAAATTGTTGTGGCTGAATGTTAGATCTATCATAGATAATTTTTTTTGTTGATGCTGGTTATTTAGTGGTTAATTAGAAGATCAAGAGTCAAGACAGTGAAAATAACATGGCTTACAACTTCAGTACGTAGTTCATTTACCCCCAATTCGATGTTTCAGGTCCCAATCCTCATCTGTCAACATTGTCATTACCAAAAAAAAAAAGAAAAGAAAAAAACGAAACAATACATGTGCTGTATCGTAATTTAACAAAAACAATTTGAATGAAGCTTCTTAATATGTTACTAATCAATAAATAATACTACCACCTCAAAAGTTCTATCAAAATTTCAGATACCCAGAATTCATCAGGATCTTAGTTTTTCTGTTGATAGTATTATTCTTCTGCTGAAGAAGCTAAATGCATACAACAACAACAACAACAAAGCCTTTTCCCACTAAGTGGGGTCGGCTATGAAGAAGCTAAATGCATGCATGCCAAATATTCACTCAACTCAATTTTTCCATAAGTTACTCAGAGACTCAGTTATCAAGGCGACTAGACTGTAGTTTTCGGTTCGCGAGCTCTGAGAGGTTGGAGCCAACGGAGCCTCCTACACGGTTGAGGCCCAAGCCGATACTTGAAGTTCGGTGCTGTCTGCAGCGGAATGAGCCAGGATGAGTGGTTGGGGAGCAGAGGCAGTTTTTCCACCTTGATGATTTTAGAGTATCTTGTGATGTTGGTGAAACAAGCATGTGAGTATGCTTCTTTAAATCCTCTAGGCTAAATTCTGGTATGGTTAGGCTTTGACCCTTGCACTTGATCCTTGTGATTCGGGGATTTTGCTCCACATTTTCAGCCATATTTTTCTGTCAAACTTCAACCAAAAAGAAAAATAACAACCGTTATTACATACGTGTCACGGTGGTTAATCTATCCCTAGTATCATGTATTCACCCTTGCACTCAGAGATTTTGAGTCTGGACGACAATTGTTCAAAGAGAGAAGGTTCTTAAGGATATCAGATTTCCAATGATGCTTATAGTTTTCTTGCATGTTTATTTACTTAGAATGCATACTGAAATGATTCGCGATAATTCTTGACTTTCCGCGTGTTTACTACACGAGCATCAAAATTATTCAGATTCATGACTTTCCCCGCTGTATCATGCATCGAACAATTTGTTAAATTTTCTATCAAATATTCAAAATTGATTAGAGAAAACAAACATAAAGAATCCATGAAAGAACAAGTTTGAGATCACAAAATCTTGATAAGAAAATTGTATATATATGTAAACCTGGAGAATACTTGGAAATTGCCGAAGTTCGTCCCCAATCGCCACAGCAAAAATGTTGTCTGGCTTCTTGCAAAGGAGAGAAAGGTGAGATGGTGGAAGGAGGTGTTACCACTTTTATCTTTCTACCCAACCTTAACAAAATGAAAGAAAATCTTGATGAGAAATGTGAACAAATTTGACAGCAGTCACAAATAGCTGAATTTTTGGGCTTCAAGTTTCAACCACCCCTTTTTTTGCAGTTGCAAGTTTGTGGTAACTCCTTGATCACATGTTTGTAGCCACAAATTTCCATTTTTGCTATCTCTAAATAATTTTTTTAGTTTCAAATAATTAGGATGCCATGAAAAAAACAGAATAACAGCTTTCCAAAGCCAAAAGTAATATTAGCTAGCTAATATCTTAGTAGAACTCAATATTTGTTATTCATAAAGATAGACAATCATTATTCGGTTAGAAAATGTGATTATGATTCAAGGGTTTAGGGCAAAAGGGGTAGAGGAAGAACTATGAAGACTTGGAAAGAGACTTTAAAAAAACGTGGAGCACATGGAGCTAACGGAAGACTAGCGGCAAACTGAGTACAATGGCATTCTCGGATTCATACAGTTGAACCCACTTAGTCGGATAAGGCTTTGTTGTTGTTTGCATTCTAAAGTTTACCAAAACGGGACGTGTACGAAACTAAACGTGTACGAAACTAAACGAGCCTCGAAGCTACTAGATAAAACTGAAAATTAACTTCTGAATGTCAAATTATTGATTATACTTTGGTTTGGTTGTGCGTAATAGTGTCTGCATGTATATCTCTATGTTAACTTGGATTGGATGCTTTCTTATGTGCACACACTACGCATCAGTCATGCAAGTGCAGGAAATTACTGGTACTGCAGACTGAACCAACCCTCGTAAAGTACAGGTACGAGTCTCGCAGCATTTCAGTAAGAGACGAGCATACTAAGCCGGGCCGGAATCTGCACTGAAGCTGCCAAGTAAGTGGCATTTGCTTCAGGAAGGCATGGAGTCACAAGAACAAAATTGACCTCCGAATACAATAGAACACAGCAGCTTCGAGTCTTTTTTTCAGTAACGGGAAATAAATTAATTTGTGAGTCAGAGATAATTTCTGAGCAAGCCGAAATCAATTTTACAACATAATTTAACATACAATGATCGAATAGTAACCAAAATTAACATAGTTTGGCTAACGGATTCAGCAGGTGAGTTTTTTTTTTCACGGGAGTCAGAAGCAGGAAAACCAAGGGAGAAGATACAAACACATTTTGCTCTTTCTATTTTTCTTTTTCGTCGTCATTTATTAGAAACGAGGCAGTGACATTGCCGTTGCTAAGCATTCGGTATCTGCTTCCTTCTTTACTTCTGCCTCTTGTATATCTTTGCCAAGAATGATTTCAGCACTGCCTGTACTGCTTTACTTGAATGAGATTCAATGGATTTTGTAAGTTTCTCGTAACTGCTGCTCTCGTACTCCAGAAACACACCCTGCAAACCGCAAGTTAAATAAAGTAACGTTAAAACCTTTGGTTCCAAATCCAGAAAAAAAATGCACGAGAAATAAACCCTTGACGTTATGCAAAATGTTTCCCAGTTAAAAACGAGGCTCCAAAAAACAAAAAAAGTACAGCAGAACAAGAAGACAGGGAGAATAACCTCAAGATCAAGGACTTTGTATAGTTCCTTTACTTTCGCAATACATGTTTGGTCATCTTTCCCGTAATTCTCCTGGTAGCATAACACAAACGCGGATAAATGTGATCAAGAACTATAACAACAGGAATAGTATATGATACATTGGAATATAGATTTACTTGCTTACATGTAATAGTTTCTTTTGTTCCTCACTAGCAATTTCTAAAGCTTTCACAACCAACCAAGAGCACTTGAAGTCTTGAATATCAGTCCCAACCTAAAATTCAAACGACAAACAGTTAGATCGTTCATAACGCTATGAAGGTAGGGAATTGCATGACCAGAATCCAAATGAAAATAGCTTAAAAAGTACCTTTCCAATCACTTCGGGATCACCAAAGCAATCCAAATAATCATCCTACAAAATACATCAGCATATCATTCGGATAATGTAAAAAAGGAGCTTACATAGAAGGAAGAAAAAGAAAAACGGTGGTAATAAATTGATCGTGGAGCTGTAGGTTTGGAAATCCTCCATTTCTTTTTCCCTAATCATGCTACAGTTTATCAGCGAGAAAATAGTAGAGGATTCATATGTGAAATTAACTATTACCTGTACTTGAAAATAAGTTCCCATTTCAATAAGAATATTCCTCACATCAGCATGGCGTTCAAGATCTTCGCCTGCCATTAGCAACGCGCATGCTACCTGAGTGCATAGATTGGTTATAAGCATGATCATGTCAAAGAAATTTCATCAAATCCTGGGATGAACAAGCATGCCTTAGAATAAAGTAAAAATGACAGACAATCATGTAAAAGAGTTAGTTAATTGCTTCACATGGTTTCGGGTGTTCACTTCTTCTACTGAGGAAATCATGCAAACAAAAACTCTGTTCTATAGAGGTTTTCGGCCATTCAAATATATGATCAGAAACAAAAAATCTTCAAAATTTCAGACTTTCTACCTACGTAAGGCACCATCAGTTGAAAACTTCTCTAAAGCGAAATTGACAATTGACCATAAAGATTAAATGAATCTGAGAACCATGAGCTATGAAAGCGTAAAAGAAATTTGTACTCACTGGAAGGTAAAATGAGTAATAAGCAGTCTTGTACTGAACAATGCGGCGGTGACTGCATGAAAAGACAACCACTTGAGCATAAGTAACAGGAGAAGTAAATAGATTTAATTGGGAATCAATCGAGTAGAGTCAAAACCATCACTATTTACTTACAGTGACAATGAGTACTTTGATAGATCTTTCTCTCCTTCATGAGTGGTAATTAAATCGATCAATTGTCCATGAGCTGTTTGAAACTCAACCTCATTAAATAAATCCAGCAGATCCACATAGTAGGGCTTTCCCCTAAAGTGCTTTTTGAGAATTCTCGGGATATGGTTGCGAAGTAGTATGCCATCATTCACAGCAATCATGCCAATCTAGAATTTAACAGTTATGGAAGTTAGAATCTTCAAAGCAATTAAAAAGAGAAACGCAAAAGGAAAAGAATCACTCATGTTTGAGGCTCACACCTTTGGCAGCCTGAACCAGCAGGGCTGACCCCTACGCGTATGAGAGCCATCCATGATATCATCAAGAACGAGAAAATATGCTTGAAGCTGCAAAATTCAATAAAAAGGAAGGTCAAAATGCCGTTGTAACCAATGCAGAGGAGAGGTGTGGATGTATGATAAACAGCAGGAGCCATTATGCGTTGTCGTACCCATTCAATACACCAACCAAGTGCTGATGAATGAAAAATTTCATCATCCGTTAGGTCCTCTCCATCCTTGAGTAATTTTAAGCTGTCAACAACGGATAAACCTCGATTCAGCTTTCCTGCAAACGGTAAAAGCATTATGAGCAGAAGTTCTATCGCAAAGATGTGAAATAAAAATCAGAAAATGTAACATTTCTATACCTCCAGGCACATTGTAGTCCAGCATCTGCAACAAAAATGAACCAACGATCCAATTAGGACGTAAAATATCAGTATGAAATCGGAATCAAAGTTTTCAAGAGCAACAGCACAATTGAGAAGAAACTTGTACCGTTGTACGGTGCACAGAAACATATACATACATTGGCCTTCAACCCCATATCTAGATGCAGAACAACTGCTAACCCGGACACAGACTCGTATCCATACTTACGTACGCATATATACATCAGCGTATTTTAGATTTACAATATGTTGTTATAATTTCACCTTAACGATGAAAAAATCATAATTAAAAATCAGATACTCTTGCATATCAGTGTATTTTTTATATTCACGTTAACTAATTGGGAACTATCATTAATTGGGGCAGTGGCCAGCCACCTAGTGCCGCTTAGGCCGATTTTTAGAACAGTGAGTACTATGGGATTGGGAAGTTCATGGAGAATAACAAGTCAAGCAAACAGAGGCAAAATGTCCTCTTACTGCGACGAAGGTTAAAGCTTTCGAGCCAATTTAGACTGCCAAATCAAATCGAAACCAATACTACTACAAAATTTCAACAGAATATCACCAATCTATGTCTCAACAAGCTATCCCATCAAAAAATTCCAGCCAAAATCAAATCTTCCTGATTCGAACAGTTTCTTCGACAAATTTAAGGATCACAAATCTATACAAAACCCAAAACAGAAAATCTTACAAAACTTAACTGAATGTAACAGTAACACCAGCAATCAGAATATTTAAACATCATAATTTAAAAGACTCAATCTTTCAATGGCATGCACATTGACATATGAATTACATACAGATTAAAGGGATAGATGGCAATACCCGTTCGACCCATTGACGAGAAACGTCAGTGAATTCGAAAGCCGGATCATTGAGAAGCTCAGATTTCAAAACAGAGTAAACCTCCAAGAACTTAGACCTCAAATCACCACCCATTTTTTCTAGAGAGAGAGAGAGAGAGAGAGAGTGTGTATGTGGAGTGAAAAAGGAAAGATTTGAGCTTGGAGAGCTTTGAACAAGAATGGAGGAAGGAGAAGGAGGAGGGTCTATAAATAGATGCCAACCGCAAGCTTTGAGAGAGAGAGAGAGAGAGAGAGAGAGGGAGAGCAAGTCACTTCTGGTGGGCTAATATTTGATGGCTACACAGTAATTACCATGTTTGTTTTACTTTATTTTATTTTATTTGGGAATATGCTTTTACTTTCGTATTTTCCATATAAATAAATAAAAACAAATTTCACACCACAAATTGTTTTTTTTTTTGAAAGTCAATTAAGGAAACACATTTATTTAAATTAAATATTATAAATACACTTTTTTTTAGATCAAGTACTATATTTACTGATAAAGAGAGAAATATGTATATAGTTAAGGATATGATGTATACAATGGGTCTCGATAAAAATTTTGCTGAGGATTTTATCAGGACGAAAGGAAAAAAGCATCCCTCACCAACAAAATACTAATCAGTACTATCCTTGAAGAGAAGATTAAAAATTACATAAGAGATTCCTCAAACCAAATTTATGAATTATCTAAAGCCAAGCTCATTCTTGCCAAACGATGAGCCACATTGTTCGTCCCTATACACTTATAACGCTTATCTTATGAATCGGATTACTCTTAATATGCATTGTACAAAAGCTCATACTTTAAAAAAGATACAAATTTCATAAACAAATAAAAACAAGCAAAAGCTATACAAATCAAAGTTGTAATGTTGTGAAAATATTTCGGATTTTTTCGCTTTTTTCGCAGGAGAATTCATCATTGGTATTTTTTTTTCCCTAATAAATGTACAAAGCAGATATCGAAATCTAAAATCCTTAAACGAATTTAAATTTCTAAGTGAACTAAAATCAAATGAATTACGAACACGGAGTATCAATCTAATAGTATGAATATCTATTCGGATTTGACTCATTGCAGTTGATACTAACTTTAGTGAATCAGGTGAAGTGTACCGAAAGAATGGAATATAAAACGTGGACGTTTTAGTAGTTTAACGTTGAAAAGAAAGAAAGGACAAATTAGAAAACAACATAGTTTTCCTCGAATTGTTTATGTGTCGCCCACCAATATCTACCACAGTAAACATCTCAACTTTATTGAGATCTCATCTTACCGATCACCTTCCTTCGTACTCAGTCAAAGTATGTGAGCCAGCCAGCCAACTACCACATTCAATGTCCAAAAGATATACTTTGGACAAACGATCCAATTAGGACGTAAAATATCAGTGTGAAATTGGAATCAAAGTTTTCGAGAGCAACAGCACAATTGAGAAGAAACTTGTACCGTTGTACGGTGCGCAGAAATATATACATTATACATACATTGGCCTTCAAACCCATATCTAGGTGCAGAAGAACAACTGCTAACCCAGACACAGACTCGTATCCATACATACGTACGCGTATATACATCAGCATAATTTAGATTTACGCTCTTATAATTTCACCTTAAAGATGAAAAAATCATAATTAAAAATCCGACACTCTTGCATATCAGTGTATTTTTGACATTCACGTTAACTAGTCAGGAACTATCATTAGCACTTCAAAACCGTCATTCCACACTCCACCCTTTATTCTTGCGTATCAGTGTAGAATAACAAGCCCAACAAACAATGGAAGAAATTCGTCTTACTTTGATGAAAATTAAAGCTTTCAAGCCAATTTAAACCACCAAATCAAATCGAAACCAAATACTACTACAAAATTTCAACAGAATCTCACCAATCTAAGTCTCAACAAGCTATCCCATAAAAAAAAATTCCAGCCAAAATCAAATCTTCCTCGATTCGACATTTTCTTTCGACAAAGTTAAGGGTCACAGATCTATCCAAAACCCAAAACAGAAAATCTTACAAAACTTAACTGAATGTAACAGTAACACCAGCAATCAGAATATTTAAACATCATAATTTAAAAGACTCAATCTTTCAATGGCATGCACATTGACATATGAATAACATGCATATTAAAGGGATAGATGGCAATACCCGTTCGACCCATTGACGAGAAACGTCAGTGAATTCGAAAGCCGGATCATTGAGAAGCTCAGATTTCAAAACAGAGTAAACCTCCAAGAACTTAGACCTCAAATCACCACCCATTTTTTCTAGAGAGAGAGAGTGTGTGTATGTGGAGTGAGAAAGGAAAGATTTGAGCTTGGAGAGCTTTGAACAAGAATGGAGGAAGGAGAAGGAGGAGGGTCTATAAATAGATGCCAACCGCAAGCTTTGAGAGAGGGAGAGAGAGAGAGAGAGAGAGAGCAAGTCACTTCTGGTGGGCTTGTATTTGATGGTAAGTACACAGTAATTACCATGTTTGTTTTACTTTTTTTAGTTTATTTGGGAATATGCTTTTACTTTCTATTTTCCATATAAATAAATAAAAACAAATTTCACACCGCAATTTTTTTTTGTTTTTTTTTTTTGAAAGTCAATTAAGGAAACACATTTATTTAAATTAAATATTACACATACATTTTTTTTAGATCAAGTACGATATTTATTGATAAAAAAATAAATATTTATATAGTTAAGGACATGATGCATATAATGGGTTTCGATAAAAATTTTGCTGAGGATTTTACCAGGACGAAGGGAAAAGAGCATCTCTCACCAACAAAATACCAAGCAGTACCATCCTCGAAGAGAAGATTAAAAATTACATAAGAGATTCCTCAAACCAAATTAATGAATTATCTAAAGCCAATCTCATTCTTGTCAAACGATGAGCCACCTTGTTCGTCCCTATACACTTATAACGCTTATATTATGAATCGGATTACTCTTAACATGCATTGTACAAAAGCTCATACTTTAACAAAGATACAAATTTCATAAACAAATAAAAACAAGCAAAAGCTATACAAATCAAAGTTGTAATGTTGTGAAAATATTTCAAATTTTTTCGCTTTTTTCGCAAGAGAATTCATCATTGGTATTTTTTTCCTAATAAATGTGCAAAGCAGATATCGAAATCTAAAATCCTTAAACGAATTTAAATTTCTAAGTGAACTAAAATAAAATGAGTTACGAACACGATGTATCAGTCTAATAGTACAAATATCTATTCTGATTTGACTCTTTACCGTTGATGGTAACTTTAGCGAATCAGGTGAAGTGTACCGAAATAACATGATATAAAACGTGAACGTTTTAGTAGTTTAACCTTGAAAAGAAAGAAAGCACAAACTAGAAAACACAGTTTTACTTGAATTGTTTATGTCTCACCCACCAATATCTACAACAGTAAACATCTTTATTCAGATCCCATCGTACCAACCACCTTCTTTCGTACTCAGTCAAAGTATGCGAGCCAGCCAGCCAAATTCCAAATTCAACGTCCAAAAGAGAGATTTTTTAATGTGTTCAAAAAATAGAGTAAAACACCATCTGTTATTGTACAATTAACAAGACACTAAAAAGGTCGTACCCAGTGCACAAGGCTCCCACTTTACGCAGGGTCTGGAAGAGGTGAATGTCGGTTAGAATAACAAAATAAAATAAAAAAATAAAATAAAAAAACCTTATAGAATAACATATAATATTCCGTCATATATTCCGATTACAATAAAAAAACCTCTCTCAAAGGACGTTGGCCGGATCTATAGGCTATAATGTGCATGGACTCAGAGTTGGGCCTACTTCTCATAAAGAGCCCGTTTCCATTGTAATTGCGTTCCACGTACGATATTGGGTTTGAGTTGGAGTGGTTTCCAAATTTTGGGAAATGGGTTACGAAGATGACTGGAGCCCAATAATCTTACAATATTCGAGGGAGGTTTTTTATTGTGTCTGACATATCGCTATGTTGTGTTATTATTTCATTTATATTTGACATATGTGGTTAATTACATACAAATAATATATCTGAAGTTGGGAAAGTATCAACCACGTCGTTCAGCATGTTATAATATGTGTCAGTGTCTTGATCATATTGAAAACGTTCCTGGGTCTTAGATTCTTGTGGTTGGTAATTGGGGGCGCTTGATTTTCTATACAAGCGATATTTAAATTTTGTTTTAAATTATAAGCAATATTACTACTGTAAGCTACACTAAAAGGAGAGAGATTGTTTGAATCCAGAACGCGTGAGTTGAAGAGAAAAGTCTATCTATAGAGTAGGGCTGGTTTCACTTTTGTAACCAAACCGAAAATGCCAAACAAAAAATGGAACCGAAAATTTTGATTGGTGTAGTTTTAGCCCATATTTAAGTGACTTAAAGTGCCAAATTTTGGTGTAATTTTTATGTGAATTTGGGTATCGTTTGATATGCAGACGGGACGGGACAAAATGAAACGGAACGGAGAGGAAGCAAAGACGCCCTTGGATGGAAACAAGGAGAAAGAAGAAGGAGATGGAGAGGTTATAATTTTTCGTTCTATGGATGTGGAACGAGTCGTTCCAGCGGGATGAGGTGGAACGAAAATTCACCCAAAACTCGTTCCGTGGAACAGTGCATTCCATCCGTTTTAGACGCACCAAATGTGTGACGGAACGCCTTGTCCCACTCCATTCCGTCTCGTCCCACGTACCAAACGGTACCTTGAGTGGGATGAGAGAGCATTAGTCCACAGGGGTAGAGAGAGAAATGACTAGAGAAGAAAGAGAGGATGACTGAATATGTTTGTCTTTATAAATTAGTGATTGAGATTAATCTTAACCAAAATCAACGACTGGAATTGATCGCAACTAAATAAACTAATATATTATATATTAATAATAAATTTCAGTTCAGTTTTACCAGGTTTTCTTACCAAAACCAAACCAAAAAATTCAATATTTTCGGTTCTAGTAATTTCGGATTTAGTAAATTTTAATTTTGATTCGATAACTTTAGGTATTCGGTTCAGAAAATGCCAGCCCTAGGGTTTTGGGTTATAGCGCAAAAAAAGATCTTCTTCGGATCCTCTTTGTGAAGATCCGAGAAACTAATCAATCATGTCTATTAGGTACTATTTATATTCAATTTTAAATTTTAAAATTTAAATTATTTCTGACCGCACGATGTAAGATGAACGGACATGATTGAATGATTCTCCGAATCCCCACAAAGAGGATCCGGAGAGGATCCTTTTCCTTATAGCGCCATCCTTTTCTTTCAAATAACTCCACCAAACCGGAGCCTTAAAGTTACATTTTCCGAACAGAAATCAGAAAAGCAATGTATTAAAGCAGAAGCATAATATTACACAGTGTTGATGCATTCTTTGGTACATTTACATGCATTCCATAGCATTAATAAAACTTAAAAAAAGAATGTGTGTTTCTGTATACATCATTCTCTGCTACCTATTTGTACATTCAAAGACTGTAAACTTTGGTATAGTCTGGTTGCTGGTGAGCTCCACTGTACCGAGCAAAAAAACTCACTCGAGTAACCATGTAAAAATCACGCCGAAAAATTAAGAAAATTAAAGAAAAAGGAGAAAAAAAAATCTCAGGAAGTTTGTTGTATTTCAGTATTTTCTATCTCTGCAGTTCTTGCTTACAAAGAGGACAGCAGGATATGATTCTGAGCCACTGATCGACGCACTTGAGGTGAAACATGTGGGAACATGGCAACTGCCTTACTTCCTCCTTGTCTCTGTATTTGGCCAGGCAAATGCAGCAATCCTGCGGGTGCACGAAAAAGATTAAGAGACGAAATTAATGAGCCGCCATATGAGATTACAAGGCGTTTCTTGACAATAAATAGGGAGGAGAATTGGAGGTTTCGATTCCGAAAGCTATTAACTTCAGAATGTTAAGGGATTAAACTGCTAGGATTGTAAACCCAAGCAATCAGAATTGAAGAAAAACGGAGATTCTCACGTGTGAAGAAACCCCAAGCAGAACAAGGATTATATTTATACAAGGCCAAATTAGCTTTTTATGTATGATTGACTTACTGGATCTTCATTTAGGGATCCTGCATTGCAATCATTTCCGAGCTCTACTTTGGCGTTAACTTCTTTGTATCTCCAGCTGGGAAGCTGAGAAATTTGGTCATCAGATGCTCCTTTATCAACTGACCCCATATTCATGTTGTATCCAAGGAGGCTGCTAATTAGGGGTACACAGCAACATAGCAACACAAACAGCAGGAAGGGAAAAGAGTAGCTGATGGCATTCCAAGCCAGCAGAGAGATGCAGAGCACGTGGAGTTTCGGGGCTCCGGGAAGCGAACTAAAGCGAGAATCAAAGACCCAAACATTACCCATCACAAACCATATCGCAAAGAAGAGGTCAAGTGAGGTTCTACACCTGTTCATCAAATGTGTGGTCCTGTACACATATACATTATACACCATATATCAATCTCCGAAAAATGCAAAATTCCATAATTTACTCTACAAATACGTGAACAACTCTTTCGTAACTAAATGGAAGTAACCGAAGCCAAGGAAAAGTACCTGGACTCTTCAGTGCTTCTCTGCTGTTCCAAATCGGAGAGGTTGAAACCATCACTTTGAGTCGGATGAAGTAGCCTGTAACGCCCAAAGAGCACGAACAAATTGAGAACACATCCAATATCATACCCAATAATCCAAATTCTCATAGGCCAAACCGGCCTCTCCTTCTTCGAAACAGCCAAAGTAATCGTGGTCACGCCTATTTGAACAACCAAAGCCATGAATTCCAGCATCATCCAAGTGCTGTTATTGAAAGGATTTGATCCAAGATTGGACCTCGAACCATTTTGGTAGTGGAAGACTCTTCTCAAGAAGTTGAACCACCTTGCTCTAGATATTCTCATAGCCATTCTCATTAAGAATGAAGAAGGGGGAGCTCTAGAAGACCTTGTCCTGACCAGGCTAACCGCCCCACGATCATCTCCCAGAGAATTTGACGAAAATGAAACCGCAGAGGAAGCAGATTGACACATGGGTTCTGGTGAAAAAAGGTAACGGCTATTCATAGAAGAATGATTATACGATTCTATCGGCAACTATAAATATGGCTTTATACAAGTGTCATATGGTGTGAATTGGGAGGCTGACATGAAATATATGAGAGTTGTATAACAAAAGTTGTGCTGGGAATTTTCACAAATATGTGGTGGGCTACAGTTGCAGTTGGGTTTGATGGAAAAGCCTTGTGTTATATAACATTCATGCAACTTTCATGTTTTCTTCAAGTAAATAGCCATGAGAGTTAAATGAAGCAATACAGGTGAAAAGTACCATTTGGGTTGAGCAGCCAAAAGGAACTTTTGGATCTGAGAAAGCTTCAGCCTTCAGTTTGCAAATGAACTGCACACATCTTAAAATCTCTCTCCTCCAAAACCCAACTCTTAAATATTCCGAAATCCAAGAAAGTTTACAGCTTTACACAAAAGCACCTGAAATTGAATAACTCTATTGGATCATACCATAAACTTACTCAACTTCACACCAGAATTTCCAAAAACCCAAAAACTTCCAAGGCCTAAATCTCTCACCCAAAGGCACAAATTAACAACCTTTACACCAAAATTTCCAAAACTCCCAAAACCCAAAATTTCCAAGGCCTAAACCTGTCACCCCAAAGCACAAAAGTTGCAGAAGAGGTCAAAATCTGTACTGGGTAGACCTCAAATATGAAAAAAACATGAAAAAAAACTGAAATTTATAAAGGGGGGAGATTGAGTAATATGAGAAGGAGGAGAAGGGTGTGGAGAGCATGTCAGGAAGGTGAAGTTGGGTTTCAGATGGTGACCAGAAATCCAACCGCTAAGGGGTTTAGCTTTGATTCCAAGGGAATGACGGGTTTGGAGGGAAGAAAGCTAACCGTTGGCCTAACTTCCTTCCTGCTTTTGTTTATTCGGAAGAGGATCCTCTCCTCAGCTCAGGATGAGGATCCTCCTGATCAGTTTATATGGATCGTTTAAATTTAATTCAACGGTTTTAAATAATAAATTTTTTACAAGTTATAATAATTGAAACCGTTGGATTAAATTTGAACGGTTCAGATAAACTAATCAGGAGAATCCCATCCTGAGCTCAGGAGAGGATCCTCGTCCTATTTATTTAGTAAGCAAAACATGCAAATCTCTCTATCTTTATCTTATCTCTAATAGAAAATTAGGAGAAAAGCAAAATATTTTTTGGAATTTTAAAGTTAATTAGATAGGGGATAAAGTGATAATTTGATTTTAAAGCATTTGTTAATTTGATTTTTTTGGCGGGCACAGTGCCCTCGTGCCCAATATACTTTCATGTTAAGCAGTTGGCCACCTAAATCTGGTCAGCAGCTGCATTTTATTTTGGAGCTCCATGGCCCCTCCTTTTGAGTTGTGTTTTTCATGTAGGTCACACCGTTATTTTGGCTTTGTCCAATTTCATATCTTTTACGACTATATATCATGCTACATGGGTAGTCTTTTTTTACGTCTACAACGAAGAACATTTATACCTTCAATATGTCGGCAAGGTTATAATGCCAACACTGTTAAAATGAATTCTTTTAAAAGTAGAGCTCTTCATGAACTTTCTAACACCGTATAATTTAAAATCAATTCTCATATCATGATTATAAATATTATGTCAAAACCATGAAGTGACCGATAGTTGATGGAGAGTCTCATATTTTATAGAGTTCCTTTAGCATTTATCTACGAACACATACTCAACATCAAAAGCAAATTTGTTTGGTCAAGTATTAATTGAATGACACGTTCTACAACGTATGATTAGTTTAATAAACCATTTGATGAGTTATTTATTAATATTCGTACTTGGTATACGTATTTGTACTATGGAAAACTTACACGTTATAACTAGGAAGAAACATAGTCAAAATTGTTTAAAGAACTAGGGTTTTGTGTTTATTAATTGTGCTTACATTTAAAAAATGACTAACAGGTGGCTCTGCCACATCAGTAACATTTTAGAGGTCGGAAAGGCTTTTATATTTCAAAAGTTGGTCTTTATAGAAAAATAGCCGATATAAAAGAAGTTTAAACATACCTAGCTTTGAACATAAGCCAAACGTAGACTAAATAAGAAATTACTCTACAAAGATTCATCCGTATAGCAAAGTTGTGTCTTTCTTGTACAGTATGACTTTGAATTATTTTTGGGACATACAACGTCATAGAGTTTCAAATTGATTTCCAACTTCCTCATATCCTTTAGCAGCTAGCCACGTAGCATTAGCCCTTCATCACCATTTTATTTTAAACTAGATCCTTCCCATAAAGATATCTTGTAGGATCTTCACAGGCTGATGAGACTTGTCAACATTTTAAATTTGGATAAGACTGGATTTTTCTTAATATGGGAAGTATCTACATAGAGCGGCAACGGGTTTTTTTTTTTTTTTTTTTTTTTCTTTTTGAACAACAGCGGCAACGTATTTTTGAGCAATTAAATGGTACATTAAAATAGAGTTGTGCTTCTAAAAAATGCATCTGTGTGAGTTTAAACTTGAATTGAGAATTACAAACATTTGCTCGTTCACCACTAGACTAACCTTTTGAGGTTAGTAAAGATATAAACTAGCAAAAAAAAATCATTTAAGGGAGCCCCAAAATTTGATAGGCTTTATTTAGAATCAAATTACACATTCAATTTTTAAATTAAAGTTTTTGTAGGCGAAACTTACATGTGAAATAGCCCCAAAAATTGATAGCCTTGGTCTCATTGTCTCATTAAGCAAGTATGCAGCTCTTGATGTATATATGGTGTCAAGATAGTGAAATTCCGACCCATTTAACAGGCTTATCATAAATGGTACGTGTAAGTTTGCATAAGAAGTCCCGCTCACCAACATGGACGGAGCCAATGAAGGCTCACTGGGGGCAGATACCCCCACTTAAGTAATTCGTTTGTTTAGTTGCAAGCTACAATTATATAATATACACGGGTTATCTTTGAAGAAAATATATAGATCTAATATCCAACATACATTCATTATACTTATACTCCATATCAAATATTATATGAGCAATAGTGCTCTTGTTTTGTCATTCAAACCGAAAAAACCATCTCATGCCTATTATGTACTTATATTTTTCTCATTACTTTGCCACTTTCCACTACTATATTGAAATTTTTGTAACATTGGAATTATGATACATCATCATTTGAAACCATCTTAATATCATATTGCGTATAACCATACCATAATAAGGTTTTCTTAGTTGTTTTCGGTTGCCTCCACTAAAAGAAATTCCTGGCTCCGTCCCTGCTCACCAAAGGATCAATGAGGGATTGTGAAAAACACCTTAATAAAAGCCCTTGGATTAACTTGATTGCTAAATAATTATTAACTTAACCGAAAGAAAAAGATGGTGAGCATCACCATCACTATCTTAGAGGGTGATGAGCAAAAATATTCACAATGAAAAATGAATGAAACATGCTTAACGTTCATACAAGTGCACTGTAAAGTGAGAAATTAATAACAAGTGTTGCCTTATGAGTTACCTAATTTACTCAAAACTATTAAAAGGGACCAATATGTGACTTCACCACAACAGTCCATATTCGAGAGCCGGGAATGTTCACATAGGCATTTCAACTTTCCCTTGGTACTATGGTGTGATTCACATAAAAGGAACCAGCTGGTAGTTTCGTCATGACAGTCCACCTTTTCAGGGGTTAGGAAGACTCACAAAAGCATTTCAACCTCCCACTAGCCATCATCATGTGATTCATGAGTACCATAAATCAAATAAAAAACGTATCATCTAAAATACAGATCTGAAATTCGTCATTAACATTCGGACCACCCCTCGGTCGTTATGTATGTTTGTCTCTAAGTTGATAAAACGATAACTACTAAAAACTGTCAAATACTACTGCAACGTGTCATATTTAGAATCGAGCTTGGTATTTCTTAATTGACTAAAATTTGACTGCCTTATCAAGTAATGTGTGGCAACGTGCTAAATATATTTGGCTTTAAGATGTAAGCACACTTGAACTTTCAACTTTTTGGATTTAGTTGCACACATAACTCCCCCAGTTCCTTTCTTCAAGTTTCAAAGGTTATAACTTTATCTTTATGGGCGCCACAGGTGGCGATTTTGTTCCACTTTCTTACGTAGGTGCATGTCTAATACACTTTGAGAAATGAGAGATTACGTGATTAAATAAATGATTAAGCTTATTTTTTACGTCAAACTATATGGTTTTGTTACTATTTTAAGATCAGCTACGTTGCAAAATTACCCATCTGTTGGCATTGAAAGGAATGTGATAGAGACATGAACATATGGAGTGCATATATACATGATTCACCTTCATATATATATATATATATATATATATATAGGGTAGTCGGTCATAGAAAGTTAGTCACCCATGGTTTATCTATTGACTCTTCTATTTAGGTTAGCAAAAGTGTGCAGATAGAATCGATTATAAATTTAGTCTATACTATTATTAAGAGAACCCTCCTTGTCAACTTTTTGTCATTTTTTTTCTATTTTGCCCTTACTTTTGATACATACTATTGACAAAAGGAGGGCAAAATAGTAATTTTGTACCTTTTGACAAAATGACAACCATATCCCTATTTTTTCTATTTTACCCTATTTTTTATACTTATTTTTCCAATTTTACCCTCACTTTTGATACACAATATTTACATAAGGAGGACAAAATAATAATTATGTAATATTAAAAAAAATATGCATTTATTAAGTGAAATTGTTCACACACACAAAGTGTGTGCTTATACTAGTATATACTAATAAAACTCATTTTACACTGAAATATTGTTCATAACCACAATGTTTTTTCAAATTTGTCCTCGCGTAGTTTTTTTTTATTTCATTTGTGCCACTGACGAAGATACCCTTTTGAGTGCTTGCTCCGTTTACTAACTCCACTCACTTCCGCGTTCATTCATGTTTTGTTCTCGAACTCTCTCTCTCAGCTACGCAGTGGAACCCCCACTTTCACCCTTTACCTCTCTGCAAAAAACCCTAGACCTCGCCGCTGTTGGAGACTAAGAGCTCAACCCTTGAGTGTCAATCCGCCTCGTCATCTTCTTCTCTCTAAGCCTCGTCCGAAACCCCTCTAGTTTTTTTTTAACTAAAATGTACCTAGATGAACACTAAAGAGATAATATATGTACGACTACTTATTGTTTGTATCTAGTTTTTCATTGAAACTTTGCAACTAGTTTTGTTTGTGTATATTTTTGTTGACAAAGTTTGTGGGACGTATCTCTAACTTCCTCAAAGATAAGTTGTAGCCAATGGAATTTTAATCCCAATTCATATAAGGGTCTTGGTGTGATGAAAATAATTTCACAAAAACCGCTTTTAATTATTTTAAAATACTTTTCAATGAACAAGGCAATGGCATTAACTGTGTTCAAAGTAAATAGGTTCCACCAGCATGCAATAATTACGGAAAATTTTCAGAGTAAATAAAATATATTCTCACAGTTATTATGCGTTGTGATTAAGATTAATCACTAGAAATTTTGGTACTCTTCGAGAGTAAATGTACGGAAACAGATGATGATCCCAAACTTTGGGAAAATATGACTTTCATGATAAAGCTTGTAAGAAAATCAAGCAAGCATTTGCTTTGCCGCATTTTCCTCTATCTGAGTCATTATCTCAGTCTAACTATTTAAAACTTAGACAAGTCAGGTACATCAAACTTCAAAATCAAGCAAGGACACAATGCCGTTTCAAGTTGGAGGGGGGTATTGTGGCATGAAACTTTATCTCAAGGATGAGCATCTTTAGAGAAATTTTCTGAAGATAATCCGACTGGAAAAAGAGATCCAAACAACTTAGGTTACAATTCATCCCACCATCCACCATACGAAGAAAAAGTTGAAAAAATAAACAGATGTGTAAGAAATTATGTAACATCCCA